CGATGCTGGTGAAAATAACTTGTTGGGGTTGTCATTTTTATTAACATCATTATCATCGTTACCTTGGGAAAATTTGCGCGTATTCAGCTAGATTTATGTGACAAAAGTTTAGATAATTTTTAATAAAGATAATCCATAAAAATAACTTAATGTGGTTATTCGTTATAAGAAAAAACTTTCATACGCTTTTGGTTGGTTCTTATCATTGCTAATTAATCCTTGATGACACACATCCGGTTATTAACTCACTAACCTATTCGTCATTCCTAAACTCCGCCCATTACCCACTAATTCATCTAGTCATTCACTCATCCTTTTACTCATTCATTAACCTGTTCTTTATAAACTCGCTCGTATTCATTTTTGCGTTTTCCGATTCCAGTCTCCACTTACCTACTCACTCTTTCGTCATCTTCCTCATTCTCCTACTCATTCCCTCATCGTCCTTCTTACTCATTCTCTTACTCACTCCCTCACCGTCTTTCTTCCTCATTCTCCTACTCTCTCCCTCACCGTCTTCCCCATTCTCCTCCCCTCCCCTCCCCCCCTCCCATGCCGCATGCCCGCTCACCTGGCATCTCCTTCGAGGTTGATGGTGATGTCCGTCTTGCCCTTGATCTGCTTGACCACGCGGATCGGGTCATCGTACGGCGCCTGCAGGTAGCCGTACTTGTAGGTGGGCGTCACCTGCAGCGTCACCTCTCCCTTCACAGGCCGACCGTAGGTGTATCTGGGGGAAAGGAGGTCAGGTTAAGTCAGGGGTCACGGCGGAGAGAAACATAAATTGCTGCAAAGGAGGAATACAGCAAGCTCTCGTCTGAAATTCAACGAGTAGAATAGTAAAAGAATACAAGAAGCGCAGCGTCATCCTTGGCCTGCAGCATCAGCACGGCCCCGACGCCATCAGCATCTGGAGCATCCTCACAGCATCCGTGAAGCGACTGACCCTATTAAGGCGTCCGTGCTGACACCCACTGGAGGCGTGACCACGTGACCGCAGCACCGTTAGAGGGCGGGCGGACGCCCCCGAGGCCTCGCGCCCGGGGCGACGCGACCCCGGGCCCCGTGATGTATCGGGCTCTTGGCGCGGGAAGGAAGGCGGTCAGAGGCACGGGAAGGGTATGTTGTCTTCAGGTGATAAGGAGGACACGCACGCGGACAGACAATAAATCAATTAAATAACAGCAAGATCAGACGAGTAAACAAATTATCAATAAGTCTTGAGCAGGAAATAGGACGAGAAACAGAGACAAACATAAACACAATTAATAAACAGGTGAACAGAGACAACAATTGAGTTGTACAGTATATAGGCCTACAGATGAGTAAAATCAAAGACGAAACGGAGGTGGAGGAAAACCAGCAGAAAGGACACAAAAAGAAAGGAGAATATTAGAAAGAAGATAAAAAGAGAAAGGGAAAAGGGGAGAGAAAGAATAGAGAAATAAAAACGGAAAGGCGAAATCGGTAAAGAAAAGAACATGCCAGCAAAGGACAAAAGAAATCCGAACAGGGAAAGTACGGGCAATAGAAAGTTGCAAAACAGTGCAATCCAGCAACCTGTTTCTGTCACTCTTTGTATAACTTCTGTCGTGGTTTTTACGTAATGTTGGGCTGCTCTCAGGGCGACGGCGCGCGCCTCTAGTGTGTGTTTATATGAGTGTGAATGACAGCGGAAGAAACACACACAGATACACACAAACTCTCTCTCTCTCCTTTTCTTTCTTTCTTTCTTTCTTTCATTCATTCTTTCCTTCCTTCCTTCCTTCCTTCCTTCCTTCCTTCTTTCCTCTCTCTCTCTCTCTCTCTCTCTCTCTCTCTCTCTCTCTCTCTCTCTCTCTCTCTCTCTCTCTCTCTCTCTCTCTCTCTCTCTCTCTCTCTCTCTTCTCTCTCTCTCTCTCTCTCTCTCTCTCTCTCTCTCTCTCTCTCTCTCTCTCTCTCTCTCTCTCTCTCTCTCTCTCTCTCTCTCTCTCTCTCTCTCTCTCTCTCTCTCTCTCTCCACGGAAAGCGAGAAAAAGGAAAAAAAGGAAGGAGAAAGAGAGAATAGGGAGAGGGAATGGACAGAGTGAGAAAGAGATAGGTGGAGAGCGAAAGAGCGAGAGAGGGAGAGAGGGAGTGAGGGAAAGAAGGAAGGAAGGAGGGAAGGAGAGGAGAGAGAGAGAGGAGACGAGAGAGAGGAGAGAAGGAGAGAAGGAGAGAAGGAGAGAAGGAGAGAAGGAGGGAAGGAGAGAAGGAGGGAAGGAGGGAAGGAGAGAAGGAGAGAGAGAGAGAGAGAGAGAGAGAGAGAGAGAGAGAGAGAGAGAGAGAGAGAGAGAGAGAGAGAGAGAGAGAGAGAGAGAGAGAGAGAGAGAGAGAGAGAGAGAGAGAGAGAGAGTGCAAGGGAGCCAACGAACGACATGAATGGAAACAATCAGACACAGATAGACAGAGACGATTGGAAAATTATAAAGAAAGAAAATGAAGCAAATAAATCAACTCTCTTCACACAATACCCCTCCGC